TATAACGGAACACTGCACAAAAATTGAATATACAGTAGTTTAACTTCACACGTCATACGTAAAATAAATATTCCATCTCTATCAATTACAAACTTTTTAGTACAAAGAAACGAAATCTATCTATGGATTCGTTCCTTTGATGTGTTCGAATTTGAGTGGGTGGTGGTGATGGTGATAGAATAAACACATCATAAACCAACGGTCTTTGTAAATAGGAATCCGTCAGTTGAAAGCATCCTGCTATGAAGGTCGAGAGAAATTGGGAATTTCACAGTTTTAGAATCTTGGTGTTCCCAAGGTTGAAATACAACACTATAGGATATTTATAACCCCGCATATTATACGGAACCCCTCTGTCCCCTATTCTCACTGGCAAGGGTTGTTTCAATAGAAGTGTAAGCTGGGTGCAAATTTCACGGGTTTAGGGGTTCGAACGCAGCACTTTCCTAACCAACGAAATCTACTGTAGTTAGTTGCTCCTAACAGTCCTAGCCAACGGTAACGGAATTTAACCCTTATAGGAAAGGATGAGAAGAGTTTGGCGTGATTTTGGTTGGATAAAATAAGGCTACAAAAGAATATTGTTGTTCAAATTTAAGACTTATTTGAGATGTCAAAGGTAAAATGTTATTGGTAAAACCGTTTGTTTGTAAAATCAAATTAAATAGTTGGTGAACAAAGAGTCTTACTGTTTACTAAAAAGAAAAACAAAACAACCGGAAATATTAATTTTATTAATTTAACGAGTAAAGGTCAGCAAAATTAATCTTTTCACCATTCATACAAAAAATAATGTACATAATCATGAGTATTGTTTCAAAACGAACCACGTTTAGTTTGCGTGGTGAAACTCTCCATTTCAAACACCACTGCTTGTTGTTCAACCTGTTGCTTTTGAATTTTAGAATCTATGATCTGTGATGATTCAATTTCTGTACATTAAAACTGGCATTCACATAGACCATAATGGCTGGTTACGTTTAAAACTTCGATTGATGGAATGGTTTTGAAAGGGGTAAACACAGCTCCTTTAACACTAGGGCTAACTAAGCAAGTCTTTCGCCTTGCTACTTTGTGGAATCACGGCATGGCAAAGACTTAAAGTGAACCATATTACGTGGGGATAGTCATGAAGCAATTATTGTGGTAAATAATAACATATAATATACACTCGTTTCGGTCAGAACAATGTTAAACGCTATTACAAAGAAGAAATCAGATTGACGAAATATTAATTGCCTACAAAATAGGCTAAGCATGAACCATACCATCCACCATTCATAAAACTATTGCCGTAGTAAATAAATATAAGATGCAATATTTTTAGTCAGAACAATAAAAATTCCGCAAAAGATTCTAAAGAGAAGAAATTAGAACGAAATAAATAAAACCAACAGTTATTATAACCAGTTATTGCCAGTTATTGCAGTTATTGCTGCCGCCAGTTTAAAAGTTAATAAGGGTATGAAGAAAATGTAGGGCAGGGGATGTGAACATAAATTATTGATACATATGAATCATAAAACTCACAACTCATTGATGACGAAACCGAATTAAAACACCTACCTACATCAAAAATGCTTCAGACTTAACAGTAATAATAATTCTTGTAGTTTTCATTGCAGCCTCTGCCTCATTTTTACAGAGGAGAGCTGCAGAAACCCGGCAGGTTCAATGAGCGTCATTAATGCCGCAACATCTATGCGCAATACACGTTGCATTTACGCGAACCCCAAGCATATTGTTTGATACAAACCAAGTACAAACAGGGAGCTTCTAGAGAAACACCCAGCATAGATGCCCTAAAATCCTGTGCTGCTACAAGATATGATCGAGTACAAGTACACAGCAAGCACGTGTTTTAGACAGGTGTTTCCCTGCACAGTGTAGACACGATATCTTGAACAGGTGGGGTGGAAGCAAGCAGCTGTTAACCATCTTACTTCCTGTAAATTATATCTTCACGTCTGAAAAGCAATTTCATCAAATTTCGAAAGATGGGTAAAATGCGGTTCGGTAAAACAGCTGCCCGAAATAGTACGCCTGATGACAAGGTGAATCTACAAAAGGTCGGTTATTGGTCAAAAATGTTCAGTGAGATGGACAATGAAATATTTTCCTTCAATAGTCAATGAAAGAGTACACATTAAATTACATTCTATTGGCTATGCAAACGAAGCCGCATTTGGATCTTACCGTTATTACTGGTAACTTATTTACCAAGAAAAATATGTTCTTTATATGCCTAATAATAGTAACTTTGTTCAGTTTCATAACGCAAACAATTGTTCAAATTTCATTCATTTGTAGGGACAAACAAGGTTACATAAATTCTTAATGGATATGACTTTTGAGACAACTCGCGGACATCGAGTGTCTCGCCAACAATATTATAAAAACAACGTTCTACACGTCCCTGTTAATATTTATTTATTGGCTGGTTAAACAATGCTTCAGGCGTACAAACTATACACCTTTTTCACGGGTCGAATAGAGCCTGGATTTTTTCCAATAGTTGTTTAATTTAAATTTAAAATAATTTTTTATGTTAGAATGAGTTACAATATTTGTACTAAACCTAACATTTTTCTTTTTGTAATTGAGGATATTTTTTTCTCACTATATATGGAAAAAACACATCTCCTAATTATTTAATCTACCTGGGACTGACTTACCCAATGCACTTGTCTCCTGACCCTCTGTCATCCTGGGTTAAATATAACAAGCAAACTACAGGATTTGACAAAATCGTCCAAAAGAATAACATAGAAATTTTTAATTTACAATTTTTTCAAATTTTCTCCGTTACCAATTACCGTACAAAAAAACTTTTGATATACTAAATTATTTGTTATTTCAGCTCTTAAAAAAGGTCACAAGAGAAATTGGGAAATTTTGTGTTTTGAGGGTAAACAATGAGAAAACCCAGTCCCGATGGTCCGATCATGCTGGGTCGCGAACTCATTCAGTTTATCTCGCCTTACACCTAACCGAATTCCATTAAAATCGGACAAAAATTACTCAAGTTGTCTCTCTCTCTCTATATATATATATATAAATTTGAACGAATGGTATTTTTGGACTCTGGGGACATCAAAATGAAAAAGTAAATCGGTCCCAGGCCCAGGCCTGGGGCTTACCGTGTCACCTACGGTAATGGCTACTTCCCTACAGGGAAATTCACTAAAACAATTTTCAAGTGTCGTGTGACATCTGTGGCCATGAATTAGTAAAACGAACCTCATACAACATAATACTATTTCAGCTACTCTATTTACCATGACGCATTTATTGTGAGTAGTGCGTACTAACGAACATACACTCGTCCTCATGATCAGTCAGTTTCGCGGGTACGGGTTGAAGGCGCTTTATTTTGGCGTCGCTAGGGGTGGGGCATCCATATCGATCCACCGCCTGGTTTTTCGCAGCATCGCTTGTCTCCAGCATAAGGCCAACTCTGTGAAATCACTATTCACTATTCCACAGTAATTATATCTATGGAAAACGCTCACTATTTCAGTTGGGAAACGAGGACGATAAAGGTTGATTTTAACAATTCACCAAACAAAAAATTATTAACATTGCTGAATGTTGAATGTTTAAGTTACAAACAGTTGCAAAAGATGGCTTTCAAATAAGACTGGTCTAGTTAGCTAACTCAAGAGTTCTAGCTTACAGCTAACCTGCAAATTTGAGATTGAATTGAGTTTAGACAAAAATAAAACCTAAACTTGAGTTTTTTTAGTTAATTTCATTTCAGAGCATAATACAATACAAAAGTGACAATAGAACATCAGGTTCTAGCGGGGTTGATGTGGCATTTGTGTCATCTTAATAGTTTTGAATTGGGAAGAAAATTGTTCCAAGACTAAATAAATCTAAATACAATTTCCCCTTTTAACGAATTAAGTAATACCATAGGTCTCATAGTAAGATCTGGACGCGGGAGTGATTTGTTACAGCACAAAACTCTAGCAAAAAATTACCTGATCTTGCTGAAATTTGATGCTAACTGTAAACCTAATATATTTGGACGGGTAGGCTATGGCCGGACAATGAAATGTCTATTGCAGTATGACCAGGTTTATGTTGTAAAAATTGCGTTTTCCCACTCTTGGCCCTAAAAACAAAATTTCTCGACCGTTTAGTAAAGTTTAGAAATAATTTAGTACATGTAAGCGTGGTTGGATCCTTAAAGGTTTAAGAAAAACTAAAAAAGTGTACATTTTAAGTTCCTGTTTTATTTATATGCGGAATAAAATTAACTGTTTAAGTTTACCGGATATATTTTAATCAAATTTGGCAATTTAATCTATTTACATAACAAATAACCATGGGGCTGGTATGCTGGTCTAGTGATCCCTACACTTTTCAACAATGAAGTTAGACCAAGTGAAAAATCCCTACCACTAGGAAAGCCTTAATTAACGTGAAAAACAATCCCTAGCTAAAGCCTAGTCAAAATAGTAACCAAAATTAAGAACATTTCCATTAGTTTCTGTATCATGTTTATAAAATACAAGTAAACCAAAATTAATCCTGTGTCTTTACTTACTTACCTTTAACTGTAGATATCTTCAAGAAATCTTCTCGGCCCTTAAGAAAGTATTCGCTAAAAAATCAGAAAATTTCTTGCATACATGGAAGAAAAAGATACCCTTATATTTACAAGTAAAATGTTTCAAGTTAAAAAGCTAATTTCGTCTTTCATTAATTGCAAACCAATAGGTTCCAGTAAGTTCAGAATGAATTAACTTACTTTATTTATTACAGCAGTTAATACATTAGTATATGACATTTTAGTAATAATTTAACACCTTAGAATACGCAATATTCTGACACCTGAAAACTGTAAGCCAGAATTTATTAAAATCAAAATATAGCAAACACTAAACCTGATTTTTAAGTAATTAAAAGAAATAATATTGTGTTAAAAAAAGTTATCCACGTTTACATTACCAATAATCAAAAAGAACACTGGTGATAATAAAATTCTTCCAAAAAATGAAACACATTTATTCCTAAACATTATGTACAAAATTTTAAAATTACTAAATGTACTAAAAAAACTACCAATGTCTGTGACGATTCACGTCTGCTATGCGCTCGTCCCAATGCAATCTAAACAACAAACACGTAAGAAAATGGTAAAAATAAAGACACACAGATAAAAAGTAAAAAAGGAACAGGGTACTTTATTAGGAAGAGATTAAAATGTATAGTAACTATACAAGTGAGATCAGTTCACACAAATATAGTCGTAATATTACAATATTAACATTTACATGGGAGTTCGGAAGGTGTGAAAGAAAACACGTTTTCAACTAAAACTAACCATTTTAGTCACTCCAAGGATTTACAGTTTACATCTTACAAAGTGATCTTGTACTTTTTTAATTTAATTTGAGGTTTGCCGAAAAATAGAATTACAGACACAATTTCAAAATTATAAAGAAACTAACATATATATATTCTGTTGTTTAACACATTGGAATGAGCTGAGCGCATCCGAGGGCTCATAAGTTTAACAATCTGCAGGAAACGTTTGGTCTTACAATTATTAACAATATGAACACACATCGACACAAAATCTACAATTATGTACCCACGAAATCTCCATTTTCTACAATATATGAAAAATTAAACCAGAGGGACTTTTAAGTAACTGTTGTATATAAATCGAACAATGACCTTATTGCCTGTTACTTTCTAGATATACGTAAATCATATCGCATCGTGTTCGTCAGAACTTAAGTATTACAAATTAAATATTATTTGTACAGTTTAGGTTACTTATTCAAACATATACTTATCTAACACTTTTTTTACAAATAAAACCTAAGTTAAAATTTCACCAGTTGTCAATAATGCACTGTAAAATAAATTATGCCCGGAGAAGAGGCCATGACTGACTCTCGATTGCACTTTGGAGATGAACTTGGCCAGGAAAACGGACAAATCAAACTTTACACCGAAATCATCTGTTCGGCTTTGTTATATAAATAAAAAAGACCTAATAGAACCTTCGATTTAAATTATTTAAAAATAAATGCCTCCCTTAGGTTAGGAAACTTGGCGGTAGGGAGTGGGGGAGTAGTTCTGTACACTGGGTAGGTACGTCGCGCCACTCCGTAGCTCCAAGCTTCCGGAGGCCACATCGCACAGTCAGTTCACACAATATCACTTATTATGCATCGTCTTCATCATCATCCCCTTCCCCATCGTCCCCCTCCTCTTCCTCTTCTGGAACACACGTAAAAATAACATTACTTGACATGCAACATCAGGAGTAAATACAGGTAGGTATATGAAGATACACTAGTTGCTCGTAGCACTTACTTTAGCACCAAAGTTCATATTCTTCATCTAAAAAGACTAGCTATATAGCAAATTTTATAATAGACACACAGTTCAATGGCACCATCGACAAGAGTGTGCTCCTGATTACTGTCATTACGTTAACTTGAGAGGACAACTTTATGAAAACTAATATCTTTAATTTTGCATAAAATATTACTACTAGAAACTCAAAGAGCAAATTAAATTTAAACAGCAGTGCACTTGATGAGTGGTTCATCAACTGTCAAATTTGGTGCTAAAATCTACTTTTAGTGTTTGCAAAGTTTAAAAATACTGCATGTAAATTAAAGAAGAAATTTGCACAATAAGTGTACGTTTAAAAATTTAAGCTTGTTTGTTTTAACAGTCTTTAATGATTGCAATATCAGATTTGATTATTAAACATTGTCTAGCTAAACCGAGTCAATTTTTAAGAAGGATATCCCGAAAGAGAAGCAGCTAGTGTGTCATTGTATGTAGCCTAAGAATGAAACAATGAAAGCATGCATGCACATTTTCTTGTCTGGAAACAATGTTGCAACGTACTTAGCATAGTAATTAAATAATAATTGTATTGAATGTATTTTCAAAGAAAATAATATCAATACGTCTTGTTAAAGTTGGATTGAATTAGTAGTTCAGTAACAAAAAAAAAAAAAAAAAATCGTAAGGTAGGAGTATTTGAGTATGCAAATAAAAAAATTATGAATGAATTGCCAAAGTACACAGCAATGTGAAATGCATTTAATTAATTTACAGTAGTATGCAAGCAAAATATATAATTTTTCTAGTGCATCAATCGGCACTTAAAACACACTAATGGAATCTTTAGACCCTTGAAAAGAGCAAAAGTTAATCACCTTCGCCTTCGTCTAGTTCATCTTGTAATTCGTCTTCCTCATCTTCCTCCTCTCCTTCTACGTCCTCTTCCTCATCTTCTATTTCCTCCTCCTCCCCGTTCTCTTCTTTTTTCTGTTTTTTGGGATCTTCGCTTTTGTCCTAAAGAAAACAAACATTTATTGTAAATAATTTTTTTTTTTAAATACTGCAAAAAAAACTTATGTGAGATTGAATGAGGGGCTTTGTAATAAACGATCCTCAACCCCCTCCCACATTTCACCGGCACCGCACAAAGCAGCAGCTGCGTACAAAAACACTCGCTATTCTCCTCCCCTCGCCCTCCCGTTCCCGGCAGCCGGCACCGCCATCTGCCTGGCCTGTTTCCTTCCGCTCGTACCTGGTTTTGGCGGCAACGGTAGCCGGCCGGGATTGCATTTAACCAGGCGCAAATATAGGTTTAAGATAACATTAGAATCAAATGGATGTGCAAGGTATTTTTTCGGGAATAGAAAAGTATACGGACAAATCACTGAATCATTAAAACATTTACTTCCTTAATAAATGGAAGCAAAAGGAACATAACTTTAAATGATGATAAAAGGAGCATTATTAAAATGTATTGCACACAATCAACTAAGCCCAATCCAATAAGAAAAATAAGAAATAAAAACTAACACTAATTGTGGATAAATCATGGTGAAAATCAAATTATGAAGTCCATTCCAATAAAGAGGTGCTAAATTTCCAGACCTTGTCGCAAATTCACTACCAATATGTTAAGTCTTGTGAATAACCGAAAAAGGTCAAAATGTAAATGTTGAAAGCAACGAAATTATTGCAATAATATTGCTGAGTAATAAACATTTCATCAACAATTTTTTATATTTGTTTTAATGTTGTATCATACATTATTCATTACGAAGAAGCGTTGTTGCACAAGCTAGGAATGTGAAGTTTCAGATAACGGGTAGTTACAACCGTTGTCAGAAGTGAGCTTAGTCAACAACACGGAAAGGAGGGGACTAAAATTGAACCGAGAGCCGACGCCGAGTGACGCCACCCGACCGGAGCGTTCCTTTTAATGGCGGCCGCTAGTTCAGGCTACGACCACCGAGCGTCAAAGCAGCGCTGCGATCATTGTCAGCGAGCCGGCTCCAACGTCATCCTTACTCGAAGTCCATAAACTGATTGAAATAAATACATTTCTTCATATTTTACCCGAAAAACACAATTACAGATATTATATAGATTCGAATGTACACTTTTATTTTTTATTTTTACTTGTACTCGACGTGGCCTTGGCCGGAGCCGGGGAAACGGGTGAGTGGGTGGGGGAGTCAAGGTTACACATTACGTGATCGTGATACGTACACTACAGGTACAGGTTGGGAGCAACACCGAACAGTTAAATGCCGACTTTCCTGTCAAGTGCCGACATAACTAATCTCGACTTTTGACTAGATATTTAATTGTCATCCATAAATAAAAATGGAACAACCCGCTAATGGATGCTCAGCGGTTTTAGAGGCGTCGATATCCGGGGGCATTGTGCCGGTGATAAGGCCGAGTTCACGTGCACGGCGCGGCTCGGCAGATAAGCTACAATGAGGCCACACTAGGGTCACGTGTCTCGGCTCTACATTCACGAGACGGGAGATGCGAGACCGCCATTCAAGTATCTGACAACTCAATACAAACGCGGTGTAGTGCCGAGTAGCGCGTCTCAATAAATGCATCTTTATACATAGTTTGGGAGTAGATTTATTTTAAGTAAGTTAGTAAAGTATTACGAATAATAGTTTGACCGTTGGGTGAACAAAAGAACTTTAGATATACAGTACCGTACTCTGTCGTGTACCATAAATAATTGTTTTAATTTTTATATTTAATTGAGTAAATAAATTATCAATCAACTGGACAAATGTATTCAGTACAGATTTTTTTTACAATAATTACTTTGTCCAATAAATTTAAATCAACTTCATTGTTTTAACAACTTTAAAAAATAAACCATTTATAACAGAACAGTATTTTAGAATTAGATTCAAATTACCCACTATGTGAAACAGTCAGCGGAAAGAATGAGCTCAACCAGATTGTGTGATGATGGGTCGCTGAAGGGGAGGGGTTTGACCTGAGAGAGAGTCGAGAGTGTTTGGAGGGGTGGGGACTCTCTCTCTCTCTCTCTCAACGCAGCGGTCGCCATCGCCATGACACAGAACAAAATATGGGGGGGGGGGAGGGGAGGTGTTTGCTAGTGTGACCGGCTCTTCTCCACCGGAAATTTCCCGCCACTTTTAGATAATTTTATGATCTTGGCCAACTCGCATTCTTTCAATAATAGATACGATACAATTTCACATTAATTTTAAGTACTTAGTAGCATTTATGAATCTGGATCATACTTCGTTTATAAAAATAAATAAAAACATTAGAGAGCCCACACTGGTGTGTTTATGTTTTTAATCTTGGCATTGAGTTTATATCATTTCCCTTTTTGTGGATTTTGGACAGTTCCGTTCCCTTTAAAAACGTAAAAAATGCCCAAAATGTACAAAAAATTAAATAAAATAAGTTACATCTGCGCTTTTAACTTGTTTGCATGTTCAGTATAATTAACAGTGACAAGACTAAAAACTAGAGTGAAGTAGTAAAAAATATTCCCTAACAAAATTACTGTGCAAAGACTAAGATTAAAAACTTGTTTAAAGAAAAAATGTAACTAATCCTTTAAAAATACCCTACCCAGCTACAGGTAGTGGGACATAGCATGTTCATGTTCAGTGATCACAAAATACTAACAGTGCATCCAAAATAATTACAGCAATGTCTTAGGATTTTAAGTTTTAGGATTATTAATGTCCACAAATTTGGTTTATAAATAGGCCTATATACAGATTTTTCATTACCTAAATTACTAAACTCACAGAACCAGTTGAGACAAATCCTAAATAACAAAAATCTGTGTCTTTAGGAATTGTGATGCTAAAAGACAAATATAGCTTATTAAGTTATTTACATTTTAAATTGGTTTCATTGAAACATAAAAATGTAGCATTTGCAACATCACAAATTGTGTTATCAGTGTTACATTTTAAGAATTTAATTCTAGGCTTTATGTTCAAATTAGTGTAGGCTAGGCAAAGCAAATAACTTGACTTATTTTTTAGTTAAGAACCTATTTCTAATATCCCAATTTAAACTTATGGAAATTTTCATAAGTTAGTCAAGGACCTTTAGGAATATTGGGCTACAATTTCAACATTGCAATGTGATCCTTTTGTTAAGCGTTACAGGAATCAGTTTTACAGCAAGAACAAAGAGCAATGTTTCTAGACAATGGTGAGCAACTCGCACTGAACAGTTTTCGACTGACTACATTCTAAGTTAAGTTACAGTATATCATTGACTATTGGATACTGAGGTAGACATCCTATCTATATTGACCAGCTGTAGCCAATTTTTTATTAAAAAAGAATGTTTTGAAGTTGTGTGAGCCAGTCACAGAATGTGCCAGTGTCTAAAATTCTATTTTCTACCTTATTTCATGTTGCTGACAAAGTTAATGGGTCATAACAGTTGCTATACCGGTAGCTCATGATAACTCATACTACAAGTTTGACAAGGCAAAAAACATTGTGTATTCGACAGAAATTAGTAATTTAGATCAGCACAATCTGTCGGTGGCTCACATTAACTACGATTAATTTGATTTAAAAACTGGCGGCAACTTTAAAAACATGAGAATGGAATGTCTAGTTGTATTAATACTCAAAAGGTTATATCTTCTGTGCACAAGTTAAATGCTTCCTATCAACGCCCACCTACAATAATATTCACGGGCTTGGATTAAAATCATTGATCAAAGCTATGAAAGATTTTGGGTGGTTTTAATAATTTGCTTTAGGTCAAATTACTTGTAGGTACACGAATAGCTTTAAATACATAAGTTATTTAATATTTCACACATCAGAATCAAATAAATACAAATTTAACATAGGCTTAGGATCTAGCCAAGGCTGTAGTTAAAACTTACTTCAGCCCTCACAGCAACTAATTACCGAAACTAAACAGCTGTGGGGACAAGTTTCAAGAATAATTTAGGCCTAGGCTACATAGGTACTTATTAAACTTCAATGAAGTTTTGGTGATAGAAGAACGCAGCACGTTTCAACTACGTAGCCTACGGTAACTTATTCGCTATACACTTTTTATCAATGAAAAACTGTATCAATCAATTTCCATCATAGAATACGATGGATAGGTTAGATGTCGATTTTGAAAGGCACATCCAAAGGTTTCTTTAGCATTCGATATAATGGCAACAAATTAAAAATAAGCACACTCAAAAGGCACATTTAAGTTATAAAACCCACTAGGGATGAGTATGAATAGTCGATGTTTCGATGTTTTTAAGACATCGATGGAAGGCTAGGCCCCGAAAGATTTTTTTTACGTTGAATGTTTTTGGCCAACTCATTGAAATATACCAATCCAAAAAAATAGCGATAAGTTAGACTTACACCAGAGTTAATTTTCAAGTTAAGGCTACTTAGCCTCGTCTAACTTATAGAGGGCAACCGGTTTTGATGTCTGTTGTTGCCTAATTTTGCCATGTGAGGATGGTAGGCTGGCCTTTAAGTTAATGTGCGAATTTGGCAAGTGTTCTGAAGTTAGGGCAGCTTAAGTTACATTATTTAAGTTAAGATAATTATAGATTATCTTTAGGAACCAAATTTTAAGCTTACCTCCAGATTGTTTTAGTAAAATTAAAACACTGGTTAAACACTGCAAAATACTATTTCACAATTTCCCAACAGGCTGGAGGTAGGTACCTTTTAACAATTCGGTTCATTAAGAATAACTTAACCCAAACTCACCTTGCCTCTAATCTAAGTTAATCTAGGCTACCTTCAAGGGGCTTAATTCCGTCATGAATTTGCATAACTTAAAGGCATGAACTTACGTTAAGACCGAATTGAAGGGCTTGCTCACAAATAACTTAAGTCCCAGCCCTGTACAGACTTGATGAGTTGTCCTACAATCCTCTAATGCCAGGTTGAATTAGGCCTAACTATGACACGCACATCACAGCCTAAGTTTTTAAAGCCGGGTTTTCCTAGGCGCGGAGCCGGCGAGTGGAGAGAGGAACGCGGAGAGCGGCCTCCACTACTCTTAGGCAATTTAATGTTACTGTTTTTCTAGAAGCGGAGCGGAATGCCATGTTAATTTCAATTCCGCTCTCCGCGTTCCTCTCTCTGCTTCCGCGCCTAGGAAAACCCAGCTTAAAAGTATGTTGAAATTGTATAGTAAGTTAAGTGGTAGACTTCCGTATCAGTTGTCAAAAACAACCGAATGAAAATATCGATACATCGTTTGGTTGGTTCTAGGCTAGGTTAACCTAAATAACCAAACGATATATAGAATGAAACGATCTAAATATTGAATAGGGCCTAATCGATATACTTAGCCTATTGATTGATATTATCATTCGGTTACTTTTGACAACAGACACGGAAGTCTACCCAAGTTAAGTTTTGTAATTTATAAATTGTTTAACAGTATAATGACACTATCCATTCAAGATACTTAAATCAAGGATTAAAAAAAACAAGCATTACTACTCTACCCGTGTAAACCAGGCTTTATGTACTTCAGGTTTGGTTCAGTTAACTTAACTTAGCTATTAAGTTATAAGTTAGCACTTTTAACACATTAACTTCCTTAAGTTAGCCAAGATTTAGATTTAAATAACTTAGCCTACCCACATAGCTTCTTAAGAACAACATTTAATCTTAAATCGTTAACTTAACTTAATTTCGAGGAACAAGTGTTTGCAACAAAAGTGCCAGAGTAAAAAGTGATAAGAATTGTATAATTTATCCAAATAGAAGAAAATTAGTAAAAATCACATGAGTAGGCTGCCTAACTTATCTTAACTTAGGCCTAAGTTAAACTCAGTAGCCTACCCTACCCTACTTATAAGTCATGCCTAACTTAGGCCTAGTTTAAGTTTAGTCCTACACTTTCACTCAACTCTTTGCTTGTCCAGAAGTACGGTAACAACATAACCTCTTAACCCTCATAAGATGATAGGATTTTTATTGCAATTTTCTGAAAATTGCTAGGCTATAAGTAAGTTAGAGTTATTTTGTCCAAAAGGACTTACAATGGAGGCATAAACTTAGTGTGCGAGAAAAAAAATCGGTAAAAATAAAATTTTTCATCTTTTAACTTTAGTGCTTAGGAACAACAAGTTAAGTTATCAGGCCTCGATTGTATGGGGAATCGAAAGAAACCATCGCTGTTTCAATGCCGATTTAAAACTCACATGATAACTTATATCGGATCAAACGCGAACAACAAGAAGTTATAAGTTACTTACAGGTACCGGTAACGTTATCATTCCATAACACTTTTCGGGTAGGCGTCAACGATAACTTAACTTAAAAGTTAACTTTTCGCCGCACAACTTACTGTAAATTATGTTATTTTGGGTGTACATAATAACTTAAAACCTTCAGAAATGCTTTTGAGGCAAGAGCTGTATGATCGGACAACTTAACTTTCACTGAATCTGGGAAAGAAGCCTGAGTTCTAGGGTACCATCTGAATTACTTAGGCTAGGCCTAGTCCTAACCTTAATAGGGCTGCACTTTACTTTAGGTCCTACACTCATTCGAATGAAACAAACAATTAATCAATACAGCGATCGATATTTTCATTCGCATGAGTGTAGGCCTAGGACCTAAAAAGTGCCACAGCCCTTGTTAATAGGCAAAAACCTGTTTTAGACTAACAAAGTAACTTAGGCTAAGTAATAGCTTAACTTAACCCTCCGAGTGTCCATAGTTTAGGCCTTAATGTCGCCTATTTTTGGCGCATTTGCAAGGTTTTATTAAAATGGATGTGAGAAGCTTAAAACAATGTTAATTCTACTGTTCTATATACCATTTTGTTTGGAAAATCATGGGCTTCAATATTATACATAAAACATAAGGAACATTTGTTTCAAAATAATGTTTTAGGTAAGAAAAAAGATTTTGGAAAATAAAAAAAAAGAAATGAGTTAGCGCTCAATGAAATCGTATAAATTAAAGGCCTATAAATATTTGAAAATAGCCACTTTGTTCTAAATTTTATGAGGATTAGGCAACAAATATATAATAATATAAGGAAGTAGGCTAGATTTGCAAATAAATAAGTTATGGGCAAAAAACAGATTTCAGAACATAGCGTTTAGCTAAGAATGCATAGCCTAACCATAGCTAGGAATCTGGCTGATAATTTCCATCAATATCACTCACTACCTACTTCTTCAGGATCATCAACCAGCCCTTCAAAATCACTTAAATCTTCTTATAATGCACGACGTATATCACTATTTTTGAGTTTTAACATTAAAACGATGATAAACGTAATAAAACACATCAGTCATCGGTCCGAGGGTAACCTAGCTGTTTACAAATACGCACGTCAGCTGTCTGCTAAAATTACGATCGGCTCGGAGACCATAAAGCGCTTAGAGACAGACCTCTGGAGAAAGCTTAGAATATAACGAAAAGAACGATACCTAACTCGATCCAGTTCAATCCGTTTTAAGTTTAGTCAGTCATAAAGCCTTCGCCGTAAACGATGTTCGTGCAATGAAAAATCGACGCGTGACACTGGACAAAAGATTTTTTGACGAGTGACGCTCGGAGGGTTAAACCTTATAACTTAGGTACCGTACCAGTTTTAAGTAAGTTAACACAATAGGCCTAAGTTAAGGCTGACCTAACACTTGGTATTATAAAAAGGCCTTAGAACGGAACTGATCACCCCCAATCCCTAGCCTAGCATTTAAATGATCAACACAAAATGTTAACTGACAGACCTTGTCATAGGCCTAGCTTGAGGAAATTTAGATGTCTGATCAACAAACATAGGCCTTACATTTCAAGCTAAAACCTTATATTCTTAATCCTGGTAATCTAGATTTAATAAGTATATTATCATAAAAATAAAGTGATAACAAATTATATTGATCATATAATAGCCTCCTGGCGGGAGTCAAGAAATGCCGCCATCGCCATGTTGATAACCAAGGACAAGAAAATAACAAGCCGTATTTGCTTTCATCCTTATGGGCTCTAGAATGACAGCGGCATTGAAATAGTAAGACTAAAATTGCAATACATATATGTGTTACGATTTAAATGTAAAAAGTAGTCGCGAAATGGTGTATTTGCATTAAAATTATTTAAGTGCCAGCGCGGTGACCGGCATTCTCGACACTTCACCACATGGCAACCAGCTTTATTTTGAACTAAACGAACACTTGAAATATGCCATTGCATACATTTATCATGTAAAATAGCGAAACTCTGAAGTATAATGTGATGATACAAAGACCGTAATTGGTAAATAACGACCCGCCACCGAAATAACTTGGAAAGATAAACACGATTACACTAAGCATAAAAATAATCACTCTCTTACCTCCGCTGGCCTTTTTGTTCCTTTGACTTCTGCTTTCGCGTCCGCTGCCTTGTCGTTGTTTTCTGTAACTTTATCTACAGCGACTTCTGCGTTGTTTTCCTTCGTACTCATCTTGACTAACACTGTTTAATTGAAGTTATACTTCTAATAAAGCACTGATCACTAACACAACCTCGCTTTGTTCAAAACGAAGATGGCGCGGGCTTCGTGCTCAATACGCCGGTGATTGGTTGATGGGTAAAATACGGTTTGAAGTTTTGTTAGAATACTTGCTTTACACAAATACTGAGGGTAGTGCTGTATAAAAATCTGATATAACGATAAAAGACAATACTTCTTTTATAGATAACAACTTTAACAATTTCGTGGCGTATTTCGAGGGGTTGGAGAGTGGATTGAGCACTAGTCTCTGGGTTCATGTCTACTGTATCCGGCAAAATCTGAATCTGGTTGGTAGATTCAAACTGACAATCAGTCCCGCCTTCCACTTGCAGAAAAGGCTCGAAATTCAAAATTCTTACTTTTTCCTTCAAGTCTCACAGATTGTAATTAATTACATCATGAGATCTGTCAAAATCAATCAATCTTTAAGGGGGTATTGTATCAGGCAGAGAAAGTAAATGTGTCCTATTATAAAATTGTAATAAGATTTTAACTCATGCCAAATGTGGCTGAATTGAATTATTTAAAAGTAGAAAGAGTCATATCATTCTGATCAAAAGAAATAATTGTTGGAATCGCTCTAATATTTTTATCCAAACATTTTCCATTCAAAGTTTTACTGTTACCACCAAATGTATTCCAACATATTAACTTGTTGATGTAGTAAGATACAATGAATATTTTTTTTATATAGTTCCATTATCATTATTATATTATGATTATTACTTACCTCAAGCCAGAGAATCACCACTTGAATATCTTATTTAGTTAAATACCTTGAACAATGTTTGCTTGTATGTAGCTATGCTTGCTTGCTTGCACAAAGATCTCAAAAACGGCTAGACGATTTCCTTCAATGTTGTAAATAATTTATTTCTGCCTAAAAACGTGATTGACGACAGCCATTACCTCAGGAAAATTTGTATTTCATTACACAACTAATTTGTTAATTTAAAAATTTGACATTGGCTTTATAGGTTGTCAAGTAATATCACTATGTTGGTTGAACAAAATAACAAGGAAAAAAATAAACAAAACACTTGTAACATTATGTTTATAACAAGCCATCCACAGTATACTAGCAAATTACAATATACAGTACAAAGGGAAAGCATCAGTTGTTGCTATTGAGCCAAGATTGCACTGGAAATAAATATGTTTAATAATAAATTTGGTTTAACAGTGAACTAAATATGCAACAATAAAAATTTATTTTATTTACATTATAAGAAAAAAAATCCCATCAGCTGTTTTAATCAAAACAAACTCAAAATAATAATATTTTTGCATTACATAGGCATTATAACTGGGTACTGTGGATACAGCTGGTTCTTATTTATAGTGACTGTGTTGATTTTTGCTCTGTGAATAATTATCTTTTTTACGTATTTTTGAGCTCGGGCTCTCTTTTAAAGTTGTGACAAGTTTAATTCTGTGTTTGTTCTTTGTACTTGTTTCATAGTATCGCGGAAATAGTTAAATTAAACAATAAAACTTCATTCAAACATAGGTCTAACCTACAAGCTCCTCCTATTACAAGAATGTCAACAACTAATGTAAACAAAGCTAAGTATAATGTACAACAAACAAACGAGTTCCTTGCTATGCCTTTTGATGAAAATGTAAGTGATCCTGATGATGATTTTGTCTTTCCAAAACGTAAACTTACCTTTTCTTCCTCTGAATCTCAACCGAAACGCTATGTTTTAGATTCAAGTGAACTATGTAAAGGCAATAAATATCAAATTCTATCTGAACATTCTTATAGTTCTAATGGTAATGGCAATGGCGTGGATCAATCACACGATATGGATGATTCTACTTTGGAAAACCGAGTAAATGACCCAAAGTTAAAAATCCCTCCTATATTTTTGCACAACGTAAACAACCACCAAGAAATAATAAAAGATGTCCGAAATATGGTAAAGGCAACTTTTTCAACTCAAGTTCGAGGGCAGTCCCTTAAAGTGAACTTGTCTAATATAGATGACTTTAGAAATTTGACAGCCTTTTATGATTCTTCTAACATTAAATATCATACTTTTCAACCCCTACATGACAAAAAACTAGAAGTGATTGTCAGGAACGTCCCTACATCATTATCTGAGAATGAAATTAAAACTGAGCTAACAGATCAAAACTATCCTGTCATTAGAGTCACTAGGTTACTCAACAAAAACAAACTTCCACTCCCTCTTTGTGCAGTAGACTTAGAAAACAACGACGACGGCAAAGCTATCTTTAATTTAACCACAATCTGTTTTGCAGTTGTAAGTGTCGAAATGAAAAGAAAATCTAGGCAAATTCCCCAATGCACTCGATGTCAACGCTATGGGCACACGAAGAACTTTTGTAAGTTGGACCCAAGGTGCGTGCGGTGCACTGGTCAACATCACTACTCTGAATGTCCTAAACAAAAAACTGCAGCTCCTCAATGTGTTAATTGTGGCGAAAGCCACACAGCTAACTACAGAGGCTGTCAAGTATACCAGAAAATAACCAACAAGGATCACAATCGGGGTAGTCCTCGCAATCGCCATCAAAATGCTACTGAGAAAAAAGAAAATACTCCTTCTCCCCCTGATTTGAATTCTGCTACTCATTTTCCTGAGATTCATACAAACTTTTCCCCTCAGGAACCTTCCACATCACGAGTTTCATTTGCTAAAGTTGCTGCTACGAGCCGCCGCAATATTAATAATTCATTCTCACAAGAACAATCTGATGATGCTCCTGATACGTCTGTGTTTCAAAACTTTGAACAAATAATCCTAGATGTGGTGAAATCGTTCATTCCTACTCTCAAAAAGATAATAAGTAATGTGATAAGCTCTATTCTCTCAAATGGATCAGGTCAATTATTTTCAAATTAACAATTTAACCCTCCTTAACTGGAATGCCAATGGGCTTAGAGATAAACGTGCTACTTTTATCGCGTTTATGGTTAGACATAGCATCGATATTGCGTGCATTACTGAGACACACCTGACCAATGTGGAAAATTTCAAAATTAATGGGTATTCTATATACAGGGAAGATAGGCCTAATCCAATAGCTTCAGGTGGCGTTGCAATCTTTGTGCGAAGAACTTTGGACCATCATAATATATTTTTACCTCGTTTATCTTCGGTAGAAGCTGTTGGTGTAAAAATTAATTTAAGTCATGGTGCAGACTTTCGCTTAATTTCTGTCTACAAACCCCCGAACAAACGGCTACACAATAATGACTTGCAGGTGCTGTTTGCAGAAAATTGTTCGACTGTTGTTATGGGGGACCTAAATTGTAAACATCAGATATGGGGTTGCAGAACCACAAACCCAAATGGAAACCGTTTGTTACGACTTACAAATAACTCAAACGTAATGATTGATGCGCCACAAGAACCAACACATTTCCCATGGCAACCTAATTATCAACCAGATATACTAGATTTGGTTTTGCACAAAAACTTTACAGCTCCAATCATTCAAAATGTTTTACCCGAGCTGGACTCTGACCATTCTCCCGTTATAGTAACCTTCTTCACGCAACCTCAATTTAGTTGTCCACCTCAACGATTAATTAATGGAAAGATAAATTGGGAAATTTTCAGTGCAGAATTGGATAAATGTTTAGAAGGGATGCCTAAATTATCGTCTTGCATCGAAATAGAAAACTCTGTAAAAATATTTACCGAATCATTGAAAACTTGTGAAGGAAAGCTATCTTAAATCCCTCACGATCCACGCCAAATAACGACTACTATCATCCTCTGATGAGAATAATGCGTCTGATTAGAGAAAAACATAAAGTTAGACGACTTTGGCAGCGATACCGTCTACCACACTTTAAAAGGCAACTCAACGAACTGGGAAGACGAGTGAAAACAGAACTCGAGGAATTTAGAATAGACAACTATAAGAAGTATGTTTCTGATATTCATCCGAGTGACCCAAATATGTGGAAAGCAACTAAACGTCTTTTAAGTACTCCTTCGATCATACCTACGTTGAAAAAAGACAACCTAATCTGTGAGACCGATTCACAGAAGTGTGAACTGTTGGCAGATTTTTATGAAACTGCATTTCAACCCACTGATCTTGCTGATTATTGTGACGATGAGATGGTGAAAGAAACTTTGAATGGACAATTTTTATCTGCTGAACTACCAATAAAGTTTGCATGCCAATCTGAAATTAAAGCAGTAATTAAAAAACTTCCACTCCGTAAATCACCTGGCCATGACCTTATTCCTAATATTATTTTGCGAAATCTCACCAACAAAGGCTTTTCATATTTCACATCAATTATTAATGCATGTTTGTCTAAATCTTACTTCCCTTCTATTTGGAAGCATGCGGAAATATCAGTTATTCATAAACCCAATAAACCGAAGTCTTCTCCATCGAGTTACCGTCCAATCAGCTTACTTTCTACACTTTCTAAAGTCTTTGAAAAAATCATCTTGAAACGAATTGCCTGTTACATGGATGCTGCAAATATAATTCCTGCTCATCAATTTGGATTTCGGCCAAAACATTCGCCCATACATCAAATCCTACGAATATATGAAACGATAGTCAAAGGGTTTGAGAGGAAACAGCACACAGTAACGGCATTTCTTGACATATCTCAGGCATTTGATAAGGTATGGCATGACGGTCTTGTCTTTAAATTGATTAATTTCGGATTTCCAAAATATTTAACCAGTATTGTAAAATCGTTTCTCTGTCACAGGACCTTCTCTGTTAAAATTAGTTCTTCTAAATCATCTGTACGACGAATCAATGCAGGAGTTCCACAAGGTTCAATTTTGGGCCCTGTATTGTTCAATCTATACATGGCAGACATCCCTCTTCCAGAAGACGCCTCATTAGCTCTCTACGCCGACGACACTGCCATCCTGTGCCAACATTCCGACATCCACGAGGCCACGTATTCCCTGCAATACTCTGTGGATCTTCTCATTGATTGGTTCTACAAGTGGAAATTTCGCCTAAATTCAACAAAATGTGAGACAAAAATATTTTCCTTGAAAAAACATACATTGCCACATGAAATTCAAATATATGGTAACTTTCTACC